CCTCCTGTGTCCTTTGTTCCTCGTCGGGTCCTTGTCGTTGTCGTACTTTTGCCTTGGTCTGCCGTTTTGTGTTGTTTAGCCGCCTGTAAGACCAGTTGCTACCGGCGTTGAGCCCTGGCTTCCGCTCAGCCGTGCTGCCTGGCCGCGGACTCCGTTTATTGACTGTGTTTTTGTGGACTATTTTGTTATTAAATTACACCACCGTCAACTTACCTGGGTCTCCAGCGTCTGCCTCACCCCCTCCACTACTCACCATTTCATGACACTTTTTGGTTGAAAACATTGACTCTTCACAGCGACACAAGAGTCTTTCTTATCTGTCTTTGGGTCATTCTCTTGGAGTAAACAGCAAACAAGAAAAGTGCTGTAAACTGAGAGAGAGAGATTAGATATCGAAAGATGGGGCCAATTGTATCATCCATGCAAAGTGAACATAAAGTTATTGGCACCAACAAGTCAGGTGACGGCCATGCACCTCCATGAAGGTTTCACGGGAAAAGATAAATTGTTGTAACTTCTATATAGATAAAAACAATTATATCTGGCTTGGACATCACCTATACTTTCATTGGTATTGGTGCAGATCAATATCCACCATCTGCAACAGGATAGAAATATAACAAAATACATATAAAAAGTGGTTACGCTGCTATGTTGGTCCACTGCAGTTTGCAGTAAAGGGTGTGCCACAGCTGCTCTTAGTTTACAATGTAACTGTTTTTTATTTCCTTTATCCATCCCAAAATCTTTGCGCTGCAGAACTTTTTGCTGCATATGCTCCATTCTTTGTCATATTTATTATGCTCAGCGAGCTTAGTAAAAACATCAAGATATTTAGTTTGCACCATCAGAGAATTTGGGATCAGAACCTGCCTTTGCTCAGCCTACCTCAAGAGGCTGACAAGACACCATACTGTTATGCACGATTGTCTGGGAAAAATGAAAAAAACAAACAAAAAAAAAAACCAATAAGATAATTGATATTATGATATTATATATTATTCTGACTTGAGCATTTTCTAAAAGGATTTCAAATGGTGATCAGTTCTAGATGAGTCTATATGCTCATTTTCAAAACTGCAAAAGAAACTTCGAAATAAAAGTAGTCAGAGATCTAAGGTTTTCAAGAACCCCCTATTGTAGGAAAGAAGCTGACAGTTCTCGTTTTGAGAAAGCATGCTATGATTTTTCCCATCCCATAAAACGCATCTTGAGGTTTTTCCATGCAATACGTTTCAGTAGTGGAAAGCCACCCACCATAGAAGACAGTTGCCTGACTTTCTGTGATTCAGTTCATGTACAGTGGCATGGAGCAAATAAACTCTGGATGAGAGATTTGTGGGGGCCCCCCAAGCTGTTATTTCCACTGACTGGCCACCGCTTGTAAAGAGCAGCTAAATGACCACTGAAGACCTGACACATGAATGACTGGCAATTTATTGCAAACACTTCTTTGGACATGGAAGACATAAGAGACAGGTCAAAGCAAAAGAAAAAATCTGCTTGAAAGTAGGCTGTAAAGTACAAATTTTAAAAGGTTTGTCTCTCCCACACACATCAAACTCCCTATAACTCCAGGAAAGGAACGGAATAACTCAACTCCAAACCTCCAACGATGTGGATGCCCAACCAAGCCGATGATGGATGATCCAAACAGAAGGGACAGTGCAATTATTTGGTCTCTGATTAGATGAGAACAAAGTTAAACTTCTTGGCTTTAACAATGCTACGTTTTAAAGTAGCACTTCCCCTAAGAACACTCCTCCCCGCTGCTCACCCTCCAGCATGATAATGAGTCTAAACACACGTACATTTACATTTGACTCTGCGGAGTAGTTCTACAAAACACTGAACCAAGAAGGCCCAACACATTTCAGATTTTAATGAGAAGGGGGAAATAAACATGAACTTTTCATTTTCTCATGCTAATGTGTTTATCAAATATTTTATGGCCCGAGTGACAAAAATTTGTATAATTGATTGTGATTAGAACACTTTTGTAAAACACAGTAAATCTTGAAAAAAAAAATGATGCAAAAAAAAAAAAAAAAAAAAAACACATTCTCCCATGTTGTTACTCTGAAGTGTCCAGCTTTATAACAACATCATGTGACCATAATTACATCATGTATAGAGCAAACTTTGCATCCTTCTTCAGATCTCCTTCCAGTGTTTGGATCCATATGACTTGTTGCAGATGGTTTACAGCTGCTGAGGTGACAGACTCCAGTTCAAAATACAATCACGTCCCGATGGAGCTCTTCTCAAGTGTTTGCCAAGCTAGCCAGCTCAGTCAAAACATGCTTTTTATAGAATGAACTAATTTAAGCTGCAGGATGAAACTCATAATGATAGCATATTAAAAAAAACATGAAAAAAAATCTTAAAACTAAGCTGTAAAATATACATCCGAATGAACAGGGAAAAGGGGTGAATCTTCACAACACTGTGCCACACACACTGCTGACCACAAACACTAGTTTGTGCGCACTATGTTGCCTGAGTATCCATGTAAACAGAGGCATCCCCTGTGTGGCCTGACCACACGGTGACGGCTTGAGGCTCCAAAGCAGAGTTCAGCTCCAACAGCTGGCGGGCCTCTGATAGTAAATATTTTAAATCATGTGACCTGTTGTTGTCAAAAGTTAAATTGTCTAACTTGGAGAATGACAAAATTCTTTCCAACATCTTTTGTTGCTGCCACAACCCGGCCATGGTAGAATCACGGATTTCGCAAACAATCATGAAAGAATCTAAGCAGCACTTTAAGCTAATTTTGGATGACAGAATAATATTATAAACTCTTTAAAGAAAATTAAGGCACACTTTTATGACATCTAAAATGATTGGAAATTTTACACTGACATGTTGAAAAATTGTGAGTTTCCCTTTTATGGATCAGGTATCTTTTCGAATGTGGTGCATATGCACCCATCCCCACTACATACTAGTTGTCCATTTTTGTGCAAAATTTGGGAGAGGGGCAGCACACACATTGTTGGACCCACCTGTGTGCTAAGTGGATAGAGAGGCATGGGATTTCACACTTGAACATTCTGCACCAAAAAGTGACAATAATATCAAAAATATGATTTGTTTTTTCTCATCCATCTCAATTTCAGCCTGAGCATAATGGAAATAATGTTATATTTGTTACAGAAAATGGCAGACACATGTTTGAAACTTAATAAAATGCCTGTCTGTAGTCAACAATTGCTTTGGTTACAAATGTAACAAAGAAGTAGAAGATCAAGTGAAATTCTAACTTCACTCTAACATAAGCTGTGAGGAAAATGAGATGACATAGAGAGGAATGCTGGATTCTCCAACTACATAGTTTGAATGGTTTTAATGTATGTGATACATAACTTCCATTTACATGTGACCCTCTCCTGATATGTGATCTTCTGTTTGGTACAAATGGTCACTTGTTCTTCTCTTTGGCTGCTGGACAGCATAGAGAACACCGACTTAGTTTGGTTACAGAAAGCAGAAATCGCAACAGACTAGACAAACAAAGCCGTCTTGTGAAGTTTGACATTCTTCAACTTCCACAGTCAAAACTGTTGAAGGAGCACTGAATCAAGATTTTGGCAAAGCTAGCGAGCATTCAGTCAGAACTGTACAAAGAAAGCTTACCACGTTTTGCCTCGACTGAGAAAACCTTGTGTGAATGAGTAGTAAGTCTATGCCAAATGTTTTATAGATATGGAGGTAAACATTTTCCAAGGAAGTGAGCAAAAGAAATCCTATGCAGATGTTTTATAGAGCACCAAGAGTGTAGTACATGGCATATAGATGTTTGACGCTGCCAAACTAAAGTCAAGTAAATGTCTTCAGTCTGGCACAAAAAGACAACAAAACAGTACTCCAGTAAAAACAGAAACATAAAAATCCTGACATCCTGCATTTGCTTTTGAAAAAAACATTCAGAGGACAAAGAGTTTATAGATTTTCATATTTTGCAACAGCCTAAAATCTAGATGTATTTTCTTTTCAACATATCTGATTTCTGAACTGGAGCTAGAACTATTCCACTGATCACTTTTTAGCTTTTTTACATGTCCAAACGTCCTACAATAATTTGTGGACCTGTTCGACGTGCTTCAAGTTAAATACTGCATAACAAGTATTTATTCATGTCTAGGAAATAAATACATTCCTCTACCTTCAGGTTTTTCAGAATAAAAACTGAATAAAACTGAAAAAATTGGTGCTGAAAGACAGCCTTGAAACTCCTTCAACCAGATGTGCCGACGGTGATGTTATTCCTAGCCTCATAGTCATCCTTGACATAAGTTTCCACTGTGAAGCTATTTAAAGAAACAGAAGCAATTCTGCAGGGAAAAGTGGTTTTCCCATTGTGACTTACCAGGTGGGGGAGGTCAAAGGTTTCAAAATAAGGAAGCCAGCAGGATGCATGTAATGCACGGTGATTCAAAACGGAGAATCTTCAACAAAGAACAAAGACGCTTTGCTGTTACGATGTAGATTTACCCTGTTTTGCTTTTTGTGACATGTAAATTTCAGATTAAAAACAAATCACACAAAGACGAAGTGAGCAAAAACAAAAATAAAGTTTGACGATTTGTGTAGAAAACTAGACAAATGTAAATGTGATGTGAAGTGTTTGACCCCAAAAAATTAATGGGCAAATACTTTTTCATCTCTCTATAGGGAAGTACTAAGGTAAAGTTGTGTTAATTATTGAATGATCCAGTGTAGCTCTAACTGGACATGACAATGACCATGTCTTGTGTAAACTAAAACAGCTGGATGTTAGAAACATTTTGTGTTGAGTTTCACGTCTTTGAAGGAATTTTACAACAAAATGTGACTTTCGACCTCACCCAAATCTGTGCAGTGCCTTCACCATTCCTTCCTTTCTGTCGTCATGGCAGTGCCGGACCTCTCTGATATATAAGGTCCTCCCCTCCTGAGTCGTGAGCCACAGCGACAAAGAGAGTTCAGGCTTCTGCAGTACTACAAAGTGTTGGGGCGATTAAAGCCCCCGAACACAGGGACTTGGTAGACGTTTTCTTCACTTATATTTTTAACCTTGTACTGCATGACAAGAAGATGACAAATCTTTCAGATGTTTTATATTTTTTCATGACTGCACAGGTAAGAAAGAAATTTACTTAACACTGTAAGTCTAACTAAAATTTAACATCTTGTTTTTTGGTTACATCTTATTTACAAGAGAAAAAGATATAAAACATAGGAAATGCCTTGATTATCTTGAATGACTCTGGGATCTTAAAACAAATCCATTCTATCCTCCTCTCAGACATTCATAGTGATCGGGGCTCAGCTGTGCCCTCGGCGATGCCTGTGTCCAGCCGAGGTTCCAGTGTGTCTTTCTGGGGTGCCCCTGGTCCTGGATGACTGTGCCTGCTGTCTGGTTTGTGCAGGTCAAAAAGGCCAAGCGTGCTCAGAGATGAAACCCTGTGACACAATGAAAGGGCTGCAGTGTGATTACTCAGTGGATGTTCACAAGAGAACTGGCATCTGTGCGGGTGAGTTTGCTGCACATATTAGCCATGTCGATCCTAGTGTTTGCTATTGGTTTATCAAATTCATTGAAAACAAATTATCTTGCTGTTTTGTCTCTTTCCTCCAGTCAGTGTGGGTAATGTGTGCGTTTTGGATGGTTTAGTCTATCAGCATGGCCAGATCTTCTTCCCAAGTTGTAAATACCAGTGTGTGTGCCAGAGTGGTCAGATAGCCTGCATTCCTCGCTGCAACCTGGATGTTATGCTTCCTGGGCCCGATTGTCCAACCCCACGCAAGGTCCAGGTTCCAGGAGAATGCTGTGAGAAATGGGTGTGTGAGCCCCAGACTGAAGCAAGTGCTCTGGGTGGCTTTGCTATGGCCGGTGAGTGAGTGAGTGAGTGGATGACATTCATATTTCAGTGTTCTAAGATTAATGTAGAAGCAAAAAAGAAATGGAAAAAAAAGGAAACAGTGGAGAGTGAGAAATAAGAATAAGTCAATCATGTTTCAACAGGTTTGGTAGAAGAGATGAAGACTTGAGAAAATTAAATCTGTCTTCTCCCAGGATATAGTTTCCTTGGCAGTAAGACAGTTGAACACATTTTAACCTTTTACTGTCTTTTTTGCTCATTCAGCCTTTCGTCAAGAAGAAACTGTAGGTTTTGGAAGCTGGGACCCCCAGATGAACTGCATTGAACAGACCACAGAGTGGGGGGCCTGCTCTGAAACATGCGGCATGGGGGTCTCCACCAGGGTCACAAACAAGAACAATCGCTGTGAGATGGTGAAGCAGAGTCGGCTGTGCATCATCAGACCCTGTGAAGACCTGCAGGGACAATTGACTCAGCTTGCACTAATGGTAAGATTCATTCAATAATTAATTAATTTAGCACATAATCCTTTAAACTCCTGAGAAATATACATTAAATAGTATAAAAACAGAAGTTCCCTGAATGAGCCTTCTGATTAATCACACCTTCCAATACTCAATACTATAAAGTATTTTAGTTAAATCAAGCACTGTGACTCACATTAGCATAATAGATAACATTTTCTATTTATAGCAAAAAGAAAAGAAGTAACTTTTCTGTAATATTAGAATTTCTTTCTCCCCCAGCAGAGAGGCAGGGGATGCCAGAGGGCGGTGAGGAGCGACAAAGCTGTTCACCTTGAGTATAAGAACTGCACCAGTGTTCTGGCCTACAAGCCTCGCTACTGCGGCACCTGCACAGATGGGCGCTGCTGCACCCCCCACAGAACCAAGACCACTCTGGTGACGTTCCAGTGCTCCAACAACACAATCAGCCGCAAGCCGGTCATGGCAATCCTAAGCTGTGTCTGCCACACCCATTGCCCTAGAGACAATGCTGCATGGGAGCCATCGCTGCTCCCATACGGTGGCATGACAGGAAGATGAGTCCAGGTTGTAGCTAACGACAAAATATGTGCTGAATTGAGTCCTGAATATTAACATCCAGCGCAATATTTAATGTTGCTAATAATATACATTTAAAAAAAGAAAAGAAAAGAGAAAAAGGACAGACCCAAACTATGGCAAAAGCAAACTTAGGGCTGCCAGACCAGCAGAGCTCTGGATAGACATCAAAGCTTAAGATTAATATTTAAATTTATGATGAGCCTTCATTTAAAATCTCAACTGAGATTTATAATCAACTTTAAAATTAACTCAAATTTTTTTTTTTTTTTCACATTTTAAGAATATGGAATAACTGATGACTTTACTAGCTGTATAAACTTAATTCATAATTCATTCATTTCTACTAAGGTTTTTGTTTCTTTTTCTGCAGTGTAACACCAGATTAAATGGTTTATGATACAAATGTCCATATATAATTGTGAGCACAATTATATATTGGGCCTCATTCCCAGCTCCTATAGGTTCACCAGAGCCTCCCTGACCGCATGTCACTGATATTTAATGTGAAATTAATCATTTGAGTTACAAGGGAAACAAACGCCACAAAAAATAATATTCCACATACCAAAATAAAGATAACTGAGCAGCAGATGAACCATGATATTTTAGGGAAATACAAAACAAACAAATTAAAATACATATTACTAACGTTGTGGCAACTGGTGAGTCAGACTTAACTGGGTACCGCAAATCAATTAACACTGATTTGGTCTGTCAAAACGGTGTTAAATAGGGCAACACGGGTCATTTTGAAGGAATATTCTGCCTAGAACACAAAGGGAATCACACATCTCTGTATCTCTGCAGGAGAGGGATTTCAATTTAAATATAACTGAGTTATATCCTGTGGACAAAAATAATCAGTGTGATTTATTACTGAGTTCTATAGAACCACTTAAGCAATGCTCTCAAAAGTGCTGCATTGTTTTCCGAACAGATTGTGCTTCATAACTGTTTGTAAGTCGTATTTTTGTTTATTTTAAAACATCACTTAAAAGGATAAAGTGTAAAAACAACAACTTTCTATTTCTAAAATGAAAATTTTGTTTATCCTGAAGGAAGGAACTACAGATTTAATGCACTGTAAAATAAGCAGCACAATCTTGAATCTTTATTTATATGCTGTCATTCACTCTGATAAACTAGAAAGACCTTCAGATGCAAGATTTGCGAAAGAGCTACAGTTATTTTCACTAAAAACTCTTTATCTACAGGTCGCATAATTGGAATAACTGAGATGCGCGCCTTGACATGGACCCCACTAGGGGCTCGCCACATGAATGAGAGGTCACTGTTGTGTCTGAGTGTCACTTTTGACGACTCTCTGAAATACTATCCTTGTAAAATAAATGTTTTTAATAAATGTACACTTATTAGAAGCATAGAAGGAACAGCTTTTGTCAGTGGTTTTTTTTTTCATTTGATCTAGTTTATTTTTCTAGCTTGTGATAGCTTGTTTGAGTGTATCAAATGCACAATGTTAATAACATATGTTCTATGTGATACTTAGTTTTATCTTTTACTACTGTTGTTTGCTTACTCTCGTTTTTTCTAACATTTCAAAAATGTAAATAAATATATTTTAAAGAGATATCTAACTTTAAGTAAGTTAATCATATTTAGTATCAAAGTTTCACTTCACTCATATTGGCAAAGAAAAAGATTTGAGGGTAAATGAGAAGAAAACCAACCTCTTTTATTAGGAGCCCACTTTCTTATATTTTAAAAATGCTCACCTGATTCTTGGATGCATATGGAGACATGCAAACATGCTAACATGCAAACATGCACCCACATCTGCATATTCATACTTCACTACATTTCCACAAGAACCAAAGAAAAATTTACTAAGTAACAATCTACTTAATAGCAGTAAAATATTTTTTTTTCCATTAACTTTCTGGAAATTAGTTTCCATCAGCCTAAAAAATCAAACTTGGTTTTGACCTAAATCCTATTACAAACGTGTGAATAAATATGTTTTTAAAAATTTTAATCCCAGTTTGTCCAGAAGGTTAAAAAGTACAATGTTATATCTGCCTGCTGATCTCACTATGAAGATAAGAATTAATGTATAAATTATACCATTCCCCACCTGGATTTTTTTGGGACCTGTGTAAGGTGGCTGTTCAGCCTGCCGGAGGTGGGAAATCATACGTTAAAAGAATCTTAATGCTTGACAGTTTTACATGCAAAATATTTTCACTTATAAATGAAATCCAGTGAAATGTTTTCCAAAAGCTTTGAAGATGGATCTCTTTAAAGACTTTACCATGATTTCCATCTCATAGGAACCAGGAGTTAACAGTCCCTCCAAACTCTGCGGTAGTTACCCTCTGACATCTTGCCTTGACCCCAAACGGTAAGGTCACAATGTAAGAAAACTGAAAATTCCCTGCAAGACAGCGAGTTTTCCTTAGTGGGAAGCAGAACGTTAGTCTGAATCTGTGAGGACTGCCAGGAAGATCTCTGTGATTTGTTTTGGTTTTCACTATTTACATACTTCTGAAGCACTAAAAAAAAAACAAAAAAAAAACCAAGGCTGACCGAAACATTTTAAAACATTTTAATTACAATAAAAATGTGATTAAAAGAAAAATATGTGTCCAAAAATCAAAGATAATAAATTCACACACACACAACCCCTAAACTTAACATAAATCACTTCATATCTTAGTCTTAAAACCCATAACCCAAACATAATAGCTCTCATTATGGAGTCCAGGGTTTGACCCCCGTAAGGAACATTGGTCCCTACAACACAGTATGCATTAGGAGTTTGGTCCTCACAATGTACATAAATACAAATGCATGACTTGATCATGTTTGTTATGGTCAAAACAAATCAGTCAATGAAAATAATTCACACCAGTTAGACACGTAGATGACATTCATTACATATGAATAAAATTAATTCAAAATCATAAAATGAAGACAGTGGTAAACATATTTCATTGCATCATTCAATGAGACTTCATTGAATGATGAAGTCTCATTGGGCAAATCTCAAAGTTAATCATTGACCAGCTATTTTACGACAACCACCTTTCTAAACAGTGCAAAGTCCCAGCAAATGAAACAAAAAATTGATTGCAAACCTTAAATGAGGATAGTGTATTTTTGATTTATGAATCAGTTTAGTGATTTGATGACAAACTGCATCATCAGGTCTTGTTTATGTCCAGTCTCCATAAATCCTTGTCTGAATGTGGTTTAACCTAGCCTACTTAAAAGCTAGCGATGCTGAAAAACAACAGTAGACAAAGTACAACAAGCCCCACGAACAACAGATTCCCAGGAAATTCGTTCCTGGGAATCTGTTCCTGGGAACAAAGCACAGTACGATTTGCTCATTGAATCGACTGCCTGTAAGTTTGTGTATCAGGATGTCATTATCTGGATCAAGGAAAAGTACAAGCCCATAGTCATAATCTATAAGCACCATTATTCTCTTGGTGTTCCTCCTAACCTTAAACCTTGCAATGCAGCATCCATCCCAGCTTGCTGGGAATGTCATTGCCTTTAAAGTTGAGTCTCTAACTGCTGCTAAATCACATTCATCATATTCATCTTGCCTATTTACTTGAATGTCATAAAAAGCTTTTCCTCTGATGATACCTTGGTTCTGAAACATGCAGTTACATCCAGTAAAATGAGGTGGCGCTGTTGTTTGAGCATTCACGTTCTCTCGTCGTACCCCTTTGCCCTTCTTTTTACTCTGTGCACTTTTATTCTTTCGCTGTTCAGTTTTATGTACTCTCTCTTTCCTCCTCCAGATGTGAGATCTTTGGTCTACATATGCTTCATTCAAACTGACTGTGTCATGATCGCTATGTTCTGTGCACAAGGCACAAAGACGAACATGATCATTCAAGCAGAAGAACTCCACAATCCGGTTGTGTTCCCTGCATATTTTCTCCTCCAGGTTGGGAACAGGATTTGAGAGTTTGTGTCTTTGTAGGGCAGCCACTCTCAGGTGAGGCTCTAAATGTGTTTTCACAAAAGAGGCTAAGCACACCAAGCAAGTTTTTGAGGCTCTGAGTTTGTTTGCTACGCAAACATCACATGGCACGTCCCAGGGTTTTAACAAGGAAGTGGCATTGGCTGATGTAGCATCGGCTGTTGTAGCATCAGCTGTTGGATGATGTTTCTTGAAGTTGTCCACTACCTCCCTGAATGTGGTGTTGACAGACAGTTTGAGGTCCTTGTCAAACTTGTTGTTGCACAGAGGACACTGGCATTCTCGCTTGCCTGCCCAGTGCCTGGCCAGACAGACTTTGCAGAAGGTGTGTCCACATGGAGTAGAAACAGGATCAGTGAAAAGGTCCAGACAGATGGAGCACTGGAACTGATTTTCAGGTAGAAAGTCACCGGATGTGGCCATTTCTAAGACATAAGATTCGTACAGCTTAGAGCAATGAATAAACATACAGAACATTCAAAATCTCTCCACATAAACAATTTCACAAACTGTTACATTTCCAACTTCCAAGTATTTCATTAACGTTTTCATCAGCACCCTTTGATATTCTGAGATAGATTTCAGTGAATAGCCCAATTTCAAAAATCCAGCCATTTTGTGAAGACTTTAGAGGTTTGTTATATATAACTGGTGGACAAAGACTGTCCACCAAGCACTTATCAATCATTAAAATAATAGGTTTTTTTAGCAATTAAAACAAATTTAATGTGTCGTTTAAATTTTGTATAATTGGTAAAAAAAAAAGAAAGCCTATTAGCATCTTCTTTTAAGAGGCAAGACATGTTGACCTTGCAGTCTGCACTTGCAATAGAGTAGATTTCTTTGAGGGTTCACATTTGGTTATCTAATTTAAGATGAATATGTCCTTCCACTGTACTCAGATAGAAATTAATCTATAAATTAGGGAGTTAATAAATATAAATTTCAACAAAATCCTGTTTCATGAAGTGGCAAATGTTTAAATAAATCATAAATACTGTATATTAAACTGAATAAAAGAAACGTCATACTCTACCTTCTTGTGGTGATCTTCTGTCACTGAGTCCAAACTTACTCTGTTTATAAATGGCCAGAATGTTAACCAGGTTAAGTTTCATTTCTCTGTAAAGAATGTATAGTTGCTCCTCCCATGTTGCCATGTTTGACTCCTGTTATGTAAGAATAAATCAGTAAAAGCTGTGAAACATATGAGTTAAACAAATCTGGATTTTGAACAAATTCAAAGCCAATCTATTGATAGTTAGATGTTTTGTTATTGATATTTTGTCTATTTAAATTTAAACATTCGGAATGTTAGCATCCCGAATAATGCTGTTTCATCAATAAAACAAACTTTACTGGTAAAACCAGTATTTCTCCAATCCATTTAACCGAAATTGATATTACAGCTCTAACTTTATAATTACAATTAGTTTCATTTAACACGAAACAAATGAGAAAGAGACACTTAGTCTGTTATCACAAAATCAACAATAAAACATGCTGTTGATTTTGTGATGTCTACAAAAACCAGCTTTGATGTCCAAGAATAACGTAAGCAGCATTCTTAACATACCTAAATTATTTGTCATTGTGACTGTAGATTCTTTACGTTTACAAGTAATGAGTAAAATGATTAGATTTAATGCAAACAAAATCTGACATATTTACATAGATTCTTAAAGCGTAACCCTTGAACTTTGAGCCTCTCTATTGTTGTGCTCCCCTTGCCGACCAGGCTTATTATTATTATTATTATTATTATTATTATTATTATTATTATTATTATTATTATTATTATTATTATTATTATTATTATTATTATTTAGAGAATAAATTAATCAAACAGAATCTTTCTCAAAATAAAAATGCTCCTCTGACAGGATCTGCGTTTGTGATATTCCAAACTGTTCTTTCATCATCCCATTTATAAATTCTTCAAGAATTATTTTTAAATAAAATGCATGACTATGGGTGTTAATCACTGAAATCAAATTCAAAATAATCACATTTACTGATGATTGTTTCTTAGGCCAAAACTGACGTGTTTCTCTGTGAAACCTTCCAGGCATCTCAGGTCTTTTGGTTCTGGCTCTGCTCTGCAGACCCAGAATCAGAACCAGACATGGAGAAGCAGCGTTCAGCTTCTATGAAACCTACAGCTGGAACAAACTTCCGAAAACTGCAAATTAGCTGCAACATTGAGTTCTTTAAATCGGTGCTTGAAACACCTGTTTAGAGTTGCCTTTGTAAATGAAACATTGATCAACACATTTGTTTGATGATTTTGATGATGACATGACACAAAATGTAATGTTTATTGCTCATTTAATAATCGATGACCGAATGATCTTTTTTCATTTTATGACAACTGCATTGTCGCTGAAATGTACCATACAAATAAAGTTGACTTGACCTGGCTTGAAAATACTTTGAATGTTTACAGCAGACAGTGTTTTTACATTTTTGAGATTCTTTAGCATCCCAGAGGAACTCCCTTCAGCTCAGTGGGTGGATAACATGACACACCTTTGGGTTTGCCCAATATTCTTGTCTTTACTTCCTGTTTTTCCACTAAGATTCAATTTCTTTAGAAAAGAAAATTAGAAAGTTTGGTTTTGAAGAATTAGATGAAAGTGCTGCACACAGTTTAAATGTACTCATTTATTTAATCATGTTACATAAATCAACAAATATAAACCAAAATAAAATCATGAAAATGATAAAATACCATCAAAATGATAAAATTATGTAATACTACCAGAAAAAGAAACTGCAAGGTAGAAAATAATTGCTGGACGGTCTTACATGTGGAGAAATGTAATTTGTAAAGCTGCAGTATGTAACTTTTATAAAAATTACTTTTTTGCATATTTGTTGAAACTGTCCCTATGTTGTCACAGTATGGTATGAGACAGATAATCTGAAAAAATTCAGGTCCTCTACATTTTCCAAGTGCTTCCAGTTCTGTCTAGAAACGACCAATCAGAGTAAGAAGAAAGGTCTTATCGCTGTCAGTCAGCTCTCTCTGATTATCCCTCTGATCTTTCCCCCTTTGCTTTCTGCGACGCTGCAGCTTTAAAAGCCTGTCACGAACACCCACGCTAGTTAGCATGGCCACTGATGAAGGCAAAGAAATGGTTTTCCTGTAATGTAAGTTGTTCCTCCACCATCAGCACATTTGGCAGTGAGTATATGAGGTTGGTCAGCAATGTTAAGACCCTCCTGGCTCTGACTGACTGTTTTGGTCGAGAGCTGTGGATTTCTTCAAATGACAATAGTAGGTCGGAGAGGAGGTGGAGAAGATTGATTTTTTCACAGATGATCTGTCTCTTAATATTCTGTCATTGTGACATTTTTAATAATATATAAGAAATATATATTTTTATGAACTTACATACTGCACCTTTGACCAGGATGGTCAGTATTCTCTTTGTTTTTTTTATACTGCTGGTTGTTTCATGCTGGATTTCTCCAACACAAAGTCATTACTCCAGCCATTAATTTGTTAATTAACTTAATTCTTCACAGCAGAGAATCAATAAGATATTGGAAATAGTCCTTGGTCCATGTTGTCATGTTCTCCCACATCCCAAAGGTTCTCTGCTGGGTTGAGAGCTGGTGACTGGTTACTGGAGCACAGTGAACTTACCACCATCTTAAATAACGTGATTTATGAGATGATGAGCCTTGTGATCATCTCCCATCTATCAGAAGATGGGTACAGTGTGTCCATAAGGAAATCGATGTTATTTGTGTCACATTTTGACACAAATGTGACAGATAATGACATTATCTGAATGTTTTCTCCTGCAGTTAATGACAACACAATGTTGAAGATCAGAATATGACATCAGACCCAGTAGAAACATGTTTAATGCGGCAATGTAGGCTTATAAAAATGGTTATTGTTCTTCAAAATGTAATCTCACAAAACAAGTCCAATGACAGGACATGTTAGAATTTATTGAATATGACTGTATTTGTGTATATGTTTGTTTTACATAGCAAATTCTATAAAAAGTTGATTGATTATACAATCAATATCAAACATCAGCTCTCAAAAGTACAAAAATATGAAATTTAAACAGAACAGGAGATAAAAAAAAGTAACCAAGTTAACAATGTAAATCTAACATATGGTTTGTTTCTTATTGGTTGCTTAAGTAAATAACTTGATGGCAGAGGACATGCCAAGTGGCCCAGTTAATTCATATATGTTTCAATCTCCCCCTATTAGAAGGGAATGTAAAATACAAAAAGATATCAGTGTTATAACAAAAAACTGAAGACACAAGTGTGAAATATCTAAACGATCTGAAACGCTTTCAACTCTTCTTCTCAAACTTTGCAATGATGTTACAAAGCCGGGCTGACTGTGGATAAAGAATGGGACAATGTTTTCATGGATTTCACTGCCGATAAATCGATGAAGCGAGATTTTATTGTCTGGATCATATAAGAGCAGCAGTCCATTGCTATAATCTATCAATAACAATAGTCTTTGAGTGTTCCGCTGAACTTTAAATCTCAATATGCAATGATGATCCCAGTTTGGTAAAACCTGCATCCTTACAAAATCTGACTCTCTCATTGCTGCTAGATCCAACCCAACCATTGCACTGACTTCAAACCCATGCATCTCTGTTAGCATGGAGAAATCTTTATTTTGAGAGTTAAATGGATTAATGTGGCTCGGGATATTTCTGTGGTATGGTAAACAATCACCATCTGTCTTTTGATTATGCTTCACGTTCTCTGCTCGCCTACTTCTGCCTTTCTTTTTACTTTGTGCCTTTCCATTCCTTTTGTGTTTTGTTTGTCCGATATTCTCTTTCCTCCTCCAGATGTGAGATCTTTGGTCTATATATGCTTCATTCAAACTGACTGTGTCATGATCGCTATGTTCTGTGCACAAGGCACAAAGACGAACGTGATCATTCAAGCAGAAGAACTCCACAATCCGGTTGTGTTCCCTGCATATTTTCTCCTCCAGGTTGGGAACAGGATTTGAGAGTTTGTGTCTTTGTAGGGCAGCCACTCTCAGGTGAGGCTCTAAATGTGTTTCACAAAAAGAGGCTAAGCACACCAGGCAAGTTTTTGAGGCTCTGAGTTTGTTTGCTGCGCAAACATCACATGGCACCTCCCAGGGTTTTAACAAGGAAATAGCATCAGCTGTTGGATGATGTTTCTTGAAGTTGTCCACTACCTCCCTGAATGTGGTGTTGACAGACAGTTTGAGGTCCTTGTCAAACTTGTTGTTGCACAGAGGACACTGGCATTCCTGCTTGCCTGCCCAGTGCCTGGCCAGACAGACCTTGCAGAAGGTGTGTCCACATGGAGTAGAAACAGGATCAGTGAAAAGGTCCAGACAGATGGAGCACTGGAACTGGTCCTCAGACAGGAAGTCACTGGAAGTGGCCATATCTAAAGGATAGATTTTTCCAAATTAGATCACTAAGGCGACACTGATGATCATATACACTACCACATGTCATAAAAAACATTCATACCTTTGACCTTTTCAAATTGTATTATGTTATGGCCACACACGATAATGCATTTTTCTGGGATTTTAGTACTATTATTATGTTGTTATTATATAATATTATTTTGTAGTAGATCAACACAATGTAGTGGATGTTTTAGAAGTGAGATGAAAATAGTACATGGTTTGGAAATTGCTATAGGGATAAAAATCAGAAAGGTTCAGCCAGATCTACCTTGATACCCCTAACTAAAACCATCTGTGTCTTTTATTTGTAAAATGTAGTCAAATTGTATTCTTATTGTTAATTTTATCATTGCATTGTTACATTTGTTCTGTGGTTTCAAAGGCCTGTGAGAAACACTCCTTAAAAAATCCTTTGAAGACATTTAAAACAGGTTCAGTTTTGAGGAGCTGCTCAGTTCCTCTCTTTGCAGGACATGTGCAATCCACCAGTCTAGTCTTTATAGAAGAGAGGCAAAAGGAAGTGCAGTTAGCAATTTGCCACAAGTCAGATCGGAGGCAGAGTAAAAATACAGAAGACGGCAATCTTTTTACTAGGAGACAAATACTGAAAGGTTATCCTGCAAGCAAATCGCTTTGTGTGAAAAACTCTTAATCCTCATCCCAAAAATATGGTGGTGGCATCATCAGAATGAGGGATAATAAAAATCAATATATCACTTCCATTTAACTTCAGAATATTGCACAACTTTTTATTGGTCATTCATGTAATTTCGAAATAAAGTGCATTGGAGTTTCTGACTACATGAAAAAGTGATAAAGCTCATGTGGTATCAATATTTTTGCAAGGCACTGCATGTACATAAAAACATCTGTTTTACAGACATGCAGTGTAAAACCTTTATTGAGGTCCATTTTACACAGCTTAATTAAAAAAGGCTTTAAAATTATGTGTATAAATATTTATGAGGTGGTTAGATAAAAGTCATTTTTTAAACTAAAAAAATATGTATTAAAAAAAGAACTACACATAGAACATGAGTTGATCATTCAATTCTTCTAAAGTAAGAGTTCAAACACATTTGCAACAGACATTAATAGTGACTCCATGCTGCCACCTGCTGGCAAGAAGAGGTATTTGGTGTTGACGGAAATCCAAAAGTAGGACGGATTAACTGCAGAACTTGGAGGAAGGCAGTTCACGGAAGTAGCGATATGTTTTAGTTTATCTTCAGGTAAGTACAATAGCGAACAGTAGATCAACACCCTCTACTTCACGACTCTGTGCAGCAGCAGTTGTCAATAAATGTGACCTAATTTCTCCAGAATTCTGCTTCTCTAACATGCAAACACACTGACAAATCTTTTCCAAACTAAAGTGAATGTATGCAACAGCACATCTCATAACCCTATTAAACTAAACAGGGTGCCATGTGATTTCACTTTAATTTGCCCTCAATATGCCCTCAAACTGTTAAAAACAAAGGCACGCGATGCAGGAAACACATTCTCTGAGCAAACCCAAAGTGGCACACTTTTTAGTTTGCAATGGGAAGTATGACCTTGTGTATTTAACTTCCTTATTGCATGCAACTTAATGCTGTTTTGACATACCTTTGACTAAACCATAAACAGAGAATGCAAAATGAAAAAAAAGCAAGACAAACTTAACCTTCTCGTGAGGTGAAGCTGAGATCCTCTGTCTCTGAGTACAAACTGACTGCTGTTTACCAGAGGCAAGAAGGTTGGCCACTTTTAGTTTCCTTTTTCTGTAAATGATGCAAATGTGCTCCTCCCATGTTGATGCGTTTTGCTCATCAACTGGGAGAATAAATCAGTAACAGCTGTATAACAAACAAAAGCACAAAATTAAACTGGATGCGAAGCAAATTTGTTGCAGATAAACTAATGATCATTAAAGTTGAATTGTTTTAAAGTAAAGGCTATATTTTTATTAATTTACTAGAGAGACACTGGGTTGTTGTTTTCTATTGATAAAACTAAAACAAATTTATCTCATCAAAACTGAAAGAATTTCAAAAACCAACAATAAAATGAAGACAGAAGAAAAAAGAGTCACTGTGAGAAACACAAAGAGACAGAGAGAGGAAACAATATGTATAGAGGAAGTCGAAACAAAATATTTTATATTTTATCAAATCGCTAAAGGAAATCAAAAACAAAAGAGGAAACTTTAAGTAGTCCTTCTCACACATATGTTTCATTTCTATTCAGATGTGTTCCTCGCTTTTAATCATCCCAGCGAGACAGTTTTCCAACCAGAAATCCTGCCTCATGTGTTTCCAACCACACCTCTCTGCACCTGCTTCCTGCTGCTATGAAAACAAACACTGAGCTCCAAATGCTCAGCTCTCTAGGGATTAAAGCAACTTTCATTGACAATTTTTAATTACACTCACCTTTTATAGGACTCCACTTTATTTCTTTATTTTTTTTAGGCAATTAGCAAAGAATTCACCATTATCTGATTGCTCATTTCCACTTGAAAGTAAAGCAAAATCAACTTCAGCTCTTGTAAACCTCATTAAACCAAAAGGTTTGTAATATTGTTTTCTATCTTAATTAATTCATACTTCGGCACAATTCAGATTTAATGAACCAATTCAGATCACAGGAAGGGGATGTAAAATTGCTTAAATCTTAAAAAAACAACAACAACAACAATATGTGGTATCCCTTTATTCCAAGTATTTTCATTCATTATTTTTCTTATCGTACGCATCTTTGAAGATGACTACAAATAAAATGTGATCTTTCTGTAAGGGCTTCAATGATACAGCTACAGTTAAAAAAATTAGATAAAGCCTATAATTCGACACGAGAAATGTAAGGAGTGCAGGAAACGTGCAAAAAGGTGCTCTGTTCAGATTGGGCAAAATTTTGACCTTCATTTCACCTCCGTTCCGAACAATAGATGGGGCGGAAAAACAACAGTACTGTGTTTTGAACACAACATACCCAATGAGAAGCATGGTGTCAGCAGCATCATGCTGTGGATCCATGTTTGTGGTTGTAATGTGTGGCATTGCAGATGTATCACCAAAGGCTATAACTGTAGATTCGCCAGTAGATGTCGCTGTCACATTGCTTTAACATTTATGTGACAAAGCAAACTTTTCATCGACCACTGAAAAAGACTTTCCAAGGGGCACAAGCTTTGAGTTTGAATATCAAGTAAAACTAAATATTCTGTCACCCAAAGTGTTCACAAGAAAGAGATCGCAGCAATTACAGAGGACGCGGCTTCGTTTTGCTTTCTGTAAAATATTTGTTTGCATCCTTGTTCTTTCTAGGCCTTTTTGCTCTGAGCCTTTTTCTAAATACTGAGAGACCTCAGACCAACGAGGCTCTCATGCTTTCAGTAGCCTCGAGGATCACAAATATTAGATATGTAGTCACTTATTAATAGGGGAATCGATCCTTTGTGATCAATTTTAAGAAACTGCCAACTTTTACACATTTGAATTGCTTGATTAAATGTAGCACACCTTTTTTTAAATCAGTTTTGATTCGTGAAGATTTAAAAGAAAACAGTTTATTTTTCTCTTCTGTCCTTCAATGTTTGACGCATTCATGTGCGCAGGTGAGCGATTTTTTGATGCGTCTCACCACTAGGTCCTCAAAAGTTGGATGATTGAGAAAAAGGTGATGTTTTTTGTTGTTTTAAATAATAAAGCTATATATATATATATATATATATATATATATATATATATATATATATATATATATATATATATATATATATATATATATATATATATATATAGGTATATAACTTTCGTACGTCCAATTTATTTGAATTTGATTCAATTAGTTGATTGTGTTATGGTGTAGTCCATCACCATTTGTTTTTCAGTATGAGGCTGACACTCTGTGCACTTATACTTTGAACTGCTTGGTAATTGGATGCGTATCAGTTCAGTGCGATCCGTCTTTCTGTTCAGAAACGCATTTTTGGCGGCGGAGCGCCGGAGAAACTCCACCCTGCAGCTTTAGGCTCTCCGGGCAGGCGGAGCGGAGGGAGGGCAGCCCGAGCAGCGTGGAGGTCTGGCTGGATGCGCGGCGGCGTGCGCGACAAGTCCCGCGGAAAACTTAACAGGGACCAAAGTCCAGCGCTGAACTCGACTTTCTGCGTGTGAGACAGAGAGCGAGGGAGTGGAAGAGGACGCGCTGGGAACTTATTCACATGTGATTTTTTTTTTCTCACAGAAATGCTCCAAAGATGGCGGTGGTAGCAGCGGGAGCAGGAGTCTCGAGTGGCTCCAGGGCGCAGAAAAGTGGATTTATAGAGGTTTTGGTGCGGGAGAACTGGCACAAAGTTTTGGCCAACTTGAGTGAGGAGGCGCTCACGTTGAGCTGCGAGGACTGCGGCGTCAACGACGGCGTCAGCTCCAACGGGGTGACCAACGGGTCTTACCTGGACAACAGCAATGCCAACTCCAACAACGGCCCCCAAGCCGTGCGCACCGCATTCACGGACCTCCCGGAGCGGGTGCCCGAGGCGATCGCCAACAGAAAGCGGTGCGTCAAGGTGGTCAAGCAGGAAATCGGAGGACTCGGGATAAGCATTAAAGGGGGGAAGGAGAACAAAATGCCCATACTCATCAGCAAGATATTCAAGGGGCTTGCAGCGGACCAGACCCAGTCTCTGTATGTAGGAGACGCCATCCTCTCCGTGAACGGAATGAACCTGCGGGACGCAACGCACGACGAGGCTGTGCAGGCGCTGAAACGAGCAGGAAAGGAGGTGACACTGGAAGGTAAGAGAGAGGATCACTGGTTCTGGGGAAAAGGGAAGATTACAAGTTCCTCGCATCTTGCATGTGAATCTTAATAACTTAGGATATCATTGAAAAGTTCATTTGCGTCAGTGATTCAATTCAAAAAGCAAAACTCTCACAGACTCGGGGCACATAGTGATGCATTTCCATTGTTTCAACTAATAAAAACTACAAATTCAGTGTTTCATAAAACTGAAATATTTCTGACACAAATGTTTCTTTTGTGTCAGAAAAGTAACATTTTGTCAATTCAGCATTATTCAGGAATAATGCTGAATTGACAGAAGAGCATAATCAACAATCTCCTCAAGGAAAGAAAATGCTCAGGGTATGGAAGCTGTTTTTTTTCACAGAGTACTGCAAAGAAAATTGAGTGAAAGAAGAAGAAAAAAATGTTTGGGAAAAGCAACTGTGACAGTCGCATCCATTGAAAAAATTTTGAGCAGAATCACAAAATGCTGACTGCGGCTGGAGTCGGTCCTTCAACATCCAACACACCGTAACTGGAATGTTACTGTTGCTTAACTATTGTTAAGCCACTCCTGAACCAGACACAACTGTTGGATTCATTTCATTATTTATTTTGCTGTGGAGGAAAAAAAGATGGCCTAAAGCCTTTTTGTTTTAAATTAAAGGAAGCATTGCATGTATTTATCAAATCCAGTTAGACGAAACAGTCAGAGATGAAACCGACTGTTGCTTTAGGTCCAAGGGGAAGTTCCCACAATCAGTGATGGTTTGGGGAGCACGGTCATCTTTGGTGCACTACATTTCATCATATGAAGCCAGGACAGCAAGATCACTATAGATCTCTATAGATCACTTCCTGCTTCTGCTTACTGACAAACTTTATGTAATTGCTGATTTCACTTTCCAGCAGGACTTGACACCTGGCCACGCTGCCAAAAGTACCAACATCTACTCCAGTGGATTCTGTATCATCGGGTTTATTGACCACCTGATCTAAATCCTGTAGAGATTCTATGGCGTATCGTCAAGAGGAGCTTAAGGCCGGTATTTGCAATCAGTCAGCAGAGCCGCAGACTGATTGCCTCCATGCCAGTTGCATTGATGTTGTAATTTATTTAAGGAGTGAATTCATCTATTGTACAGAGGAAACACATTCTTTGCAATCGGCTCACGTTTGAGTTTTAAAAATAAACTTTTGTTTCAACTATATGTGATACTGAGTCTGGAAAAAAAGTTCATTTTCATTAGCTGTGAGGTATAACTCTCAAAATTAACAGCAACAGTGTTTAGAATGGACCAACGTGATACGAGTTTCACTTTTTGAAGTGAAGTTGTGAAATAAATTAACATTTAAATTGCACTATAATATATTGAGATGCTCCTGCTCATTGTCACTCCTCATAAGAATACATTAATCCACATGTATGAACACACGATTTGCAACTTTTAGGTTGGACTTGATTGTTAGTGAGTGCTTCTGTAGATCCTGCAGGGTTTCTTTCTTGTTAGCAGCTTTACTCAGCAGTTAAATTATTCACCACATAGTCTATGTTGTGCATGAGGGTATGATGCTAAAGGGTAAAGTTCAACTTTTTCCCACAATAGTGGCTTAATTTTTATTCCACGTTAGAGAGGCCACTAATTGATCGGCGTTTGTTGAAAGGAACAATTGAGATTTTTCTAGACACAGATCTCCTGTAGCAGGTTATGTCAGAGGCACATCATGTTTATCAGACATATATCTTGAAGATCTGCCTGCAAATACAGATTTCTGCAGATTCTGTTTTCTCTTGATGCTTTGAATGTGACATCACGCGTTTTTATGGGCGAATTTTTGTCAGACAAAACAAACATCTCCACCTTTCCTCTCTGTGATCACACCACTTAACTCTTGAAAGTGGTCACATATTTCATGACATGAGCTGCCTTATGTAAACTCCCTGGATAACTACTAACAAACAGACCTGCACTCCGTCTCTGAGCT